AGTAAGTATAAAGCGTATAACTACTGTTTTTCCCATGCACACTCGCTAATTGTGTGATATTAAACAAAAAGAAAAGACAAAAATAAGAAAACCATTTTAATAAGATCGTCTAATGGAGTTTATATTAACATTCTTTTCTCAAAGATCTGAATCAAGTTATTAAACATAAATGGTATCTGATTCCTTGACTGTCGTAGAGCGAAGCATGTTTTTCGGCGAAACATTTCAACCTTTTTATGAAAGTGTAACTAATCGGCATAGTTCACCTCTGAGACTGGAAATTAAAAAAAAATTAAATTATAGTCATTTCACTGCTTTTGTGTTACTTTTCTATAGAATGTCCACAATGTGTTAAATATATTTTCTAAACCTCGAAATGTAGGCTATGAGAACGTTCTTTTTTCTTAATTTTATTGAACCTATCACACCTATTTAATAGATCAGTCCAAAGAAAAGGCGCGAAGATTTAACGTGGTGTTTGGCGCGAAATTATGAATAATGGCCCGTCTTTTATAATTCTTAGACAGGTGTACTGCAGCAAAAATATACACAAGTACATTTAGAGCAGTACTCCCAATCGCGTAATGGTTAGCGCGTTGGGGATAAAAGGGGGAAAACGGATTGGATTTTCAAGCTGGCGACCTGGATTCAATTTGAGACCAAAATTTTTAATCACTTCTCAGCTCGACTTAACGAGTTTTTTTTTCCAGAATCGGACGGAAGACCTCTCATTGCTCGCAACGAGATCGTTTCTAGTTATGTTCCCCAAACGAAGTTGGGGAACATATTGTTTTTACTCTGTTTCTTATTATTATTATTATTATTATTATTATTTTTCTTCTTCTTCTTCCTGGGTACTTTTTTGTCCGGGAATGATCTTGTAAACTGTTCGTCCGAGGTAGGTAAAACCTTTTTAGGGTAAGTAGACATGTTATGCAGATTTGCGGAATCAAGGTCATTTTGCGCGCACGTGCTTGCAAGAGCGCGCACGTGCAACACTTGAAATAACCAATATAATAGATATAGTCGGAACTTTTCTATTTTTTGATAAAATGCTTTGAAACTCATAATGTAAGGATACATTAGTAGTATAGACAAGATGGCATGGTCAAAATAGCAAGATCTCACGCGCATGCACGTGCGCTTTGCTCTGATTGGCTGAAACTAAAGTCTCAATATCTTTCTTGTTTCTTGTCATAATCTTTTGAAATTTTGAACATGGTCCTACATTATGAAGATCTACAGCATGATATATTAAAATTTGAATAAAAGCATGCGCATGCGCGCGTGCTGTAATCTGATTGGCTAAAACTTTAAATGGCTATATCTCCTTTGTTTTTTGACGAAATGCTTTGAAATTTAAAACATAGTCATGCATTACGATATCCTAAAATATGATATAGAAAATATTCATGAAATCACGCGCATGCACGTGTGCTGCAATCTGATTGGCTGAAACTTCAAATGGCTATAACTCTCTTGTTTTTCAACCAAACAGGATGGGATTTAGAACTTGGATAAATATAAGGGACTCCTACAAGAAGGTGTAGTCATTATGCACGTGCTTGCACGTGAAATGAGTAAAATAAAAAATACACTCGAATGAGTGCATTTTTTAATACTTTTGGATTAAATGCTTTGATATTATTAAAATTTTAGATAGTGTAGATAAGATAATATGGTCGTTACGCACATGAACACGCGTGCAATGCCTATTTTTTAAATATATTTTGTATTTTTCTTGGAAGACCTTGATTAAGTCTAAATTCCATAAAGTATTTCTTATTTAATAGAGATAACAGGGAATATGGCACCAAAAGGGAGTTTGGGAGCGTTTGGGGAACATCTGTAACGGTCCCCGTTACAATTAGCACTAGTTATTATTATTATTCTTTTTTTTCTTCTTTGTTCTCCGGTACTTTTTTGTCCGCGAGTGTTCTCAGAAACTGTTCACCCAACTAAGTTAAAACCTTTTTAGGGTTAATAGGTGTGTAGTGTAGGTGTGCGGAACAAGGTCATTTTGCGCGCATTCGCATGCACGTGCGTGCGCGTGAAGTGAGTGAAATGACTGATATACTGAATATGGCAATAACTTTTACATTTTTTGATTAAATGCTTTGAAACTCATTACATAAGGATATATTAATAGAGTTAATAATATGACACTGTCAAATTAGCACGAACTCACGCGCATGCACGTGCGCCTTGCTCTGATTGGCTGAAACAAAAATCTCAATTTCTCTTTTGTTTTTTGACGAAATGCTTTGAAATTTTAAACGTTGTCATGAATTAGGACATCCTACAATATAGTATGGAAAAAAATTCATGAAATCACGCGCATGCACGTGCGCTGCAATCTGATTGGCTGAAACTTTAAATGGCTATATCTCCTTTGTTTTATGACGAAATGCTTTGGAATTTAAAACATAGTCTTGCATTAGGATATCCTGCAAGATGATATACAAAAGATTTCAAGAAATCACGCGCATGCACGTGTGCTGCAACCTGATTGGTTGAAACTTGAAATGGCTATATCTCCTTTGTTTTTTGACGAAATGCTTTGAAATTTAAAACATAGTCATGCATTAGGATATCCTACAATATGATTTAGAAAAAAATTCATGAAATCACGCGGATGCACGTGTGCTGCAATCTGATTGGCTGAAACTTGAAATGGCTATAACTCCCTTGGTTTTCAACCAAACAGGATGGGATTTACAACATAGATAGATATAAGGGCCTCCTACAAGAAGGTATGGTCAACATGCACGTGCACGTATGTGCGTGCATTTGGAATGAGTGAAATTGAATGGGTGATTTTTAATACTTTTGGACTAAATGCTTTAATATAGAGTATATTTAAATAAATAGAAAATGTAGATAAGACGATATGATCATTACGCATGTGCATTCACATGCGCACGCCTGCAATGTTAAACTTAGAATATAATTGGTATCCTTATGGGAAAACGTTGTTAAAGTCAAAAATGCACAGATGTTGTCTTATTTAATAAGACTTACATGGAATATGGCACAAAAAGGGAGTTGGGGAGCGTTTGGGGAACATCTGTAACGGTTCCCGTTACAATTAGCACTAGTTATTATTATTTTTCTTCTCGGGAAAATTTTGTCCGCGAATGATCTTGTAAACTACACATCCGATTTAGGTAAAATGTTTTTAGGGTCAGTAGACATGTTACGTAGATTTGCGGAACGAAGGTCATTTTGCGCGCACGTGCTTGCAAGAGCGTGCACGTGCAACACGTGAAATGACCGATTTAATTGATATAGGCGTAATTTTTTACATTTTTGATGAAATGCTTTAAAACTCATAATATAAGGATATATTAGAAGCATAGACAATATCACATGATCAAAATAACAAGATCTCACGCGCATGCACGTGCACTTCACTCTGATTGGCTGAAACTAAAGTCTCAATATCTTTCTTGCTTTTTGACAAAATCCTTTGAAATTTTGAACATAGCCATGCATTAGGATATCCTACAACATGATATATAACAATTATCATAAAAACACGTGCATGCACGTGCGCTGCAATCTGATTGGCTGAAACTTTAAATAGCTATAACTCCCTTGGTTTACAACCAAACGGGGTGGGATTTGGAACATAGATAGATATAATGGACTTCTACAAGAAGGTATGGTCACCATGCACATGCATGCACGTGCGTGTACATGCGCTGCAATCTGATTGGCTTAAACTTTAAACAGCTATAACTCCCTTGGTTTACAACCAAACGGGGTGGGATTTAGAACATAGACAGATGTAATGGACTTCTACAAGAAGGTATAGTCACCATGCTCATGTATGCACGTGCGTGCACGTGAAAAGAGTAAAATAAAAAATACACTTGAATAAGCGTATTTTTTTTATACCTTTGGATTAAATACTTTAATATTTAGTATATCAAAATATATAGATTGTGTAGACAAGATGATATGGTCATTACGCACATGCATTCACATGCGCAAGCGTGTAATGCTTAAATTTGAATGAACTTGGTACACTTCTGGGTAAACGTTAAAGTCTTAAATGCATAGAGTTTGTCCTATTTAATGAAGCCTCCAGGGAATATGGCACCAAAAGGGAGTTGGGGAGCGTTTGGGGAACATCTGTAACGGTCCCCGTTACAATTAGCACTAGTTTAACTTTGATTTAATGTTGTGCAGGTTTGGTAGAATTTTGATCAGAAACACAGAGATGAAAGGTAGGCGTGCTTAAGATTAATAAAAAAAGACAAAATTGATTTTGACGTCAAGGCGCAGCAGCGAGGCACCTACAATTCTGTGTAGCGCTATGTAGACCTCTTTTTCAAACTGACCAACTTGCTAAAACAAAAAAATTGATAAAAACGTATATAAGAATTTGTTATATAATTTATATATATACATTTTTCTAACTAATAATTCAACCATAGTGAAATCAAATGCTTAAGACGACCATAAATTATTACTGAATTAATTACGTTGACCTTCATTGCTTAAATCGGAACTGCATGATGCTAAGGCATCCTGTATATATACCCGGTATGACACATGCAATTTTACACTAGTATAGCATCAGCATATATTTTTTAAAGGAATCTTAAAAAAAAGAGACACATTGATTATGTTATGTTATATATGATAACAAGCAGAGAAGAGAGAATGCTTCCCGATTGTTATTTTTGACATTTAATGGTAATTCTATTCTATTTTGCATGAGCACTGATTGTCATAAAACATCATAAAAATTCCAGCCTTACATTTCTATTGACCTTGACCTTTAACCTGCTTTACAAGAATATCACGGACAATTTAATTTAACTTAGGACTTTTGAGTTCTCAGTGGGGGTAGTGATTTTCAACCTTTATGAGCTCATAATACTCTTATTTGAAACTGTGTGTATTATTATTAACTACACATACTGATATTTTAACTTTATTTAAACTTCGGCATCAGGATCTCACAACAAATCGTGTAGAGCTAGTAACAATTATATTTTCCCGCGGTTCGCCAGTAATAGCGGGAAAATATTGTATTGACGGCACAGTGCATTATAATGGAAGGTTCCATTAGTAGCCAATAGCTATTAAGCGTAAAGAACAGGATTTCGAAATGTAATTCAGGTATTCACTTCTAGCCGCCGTGCGGCACGAGTTAGACGAAAATGGACGCCCAAGCAGTTCAAAGACAAATTAATGATACTGTACGCGCCTCGAATAATGAAATGCTGAGTAGTTTCTCGGAGCTTCTCGACAACAGGCTTACAGAGATGCAGATAACAATACATGAGAACCAGAAAGCTATTGCCGACAGACAAGAGGCTAGAATTGAACAAGTCGTGTCAGACGGATATAAATTCAAAAAACGCGGCAACGAAGAGCAGCACAAACACAACGTCAAGGTCCTATCAAAAGTGCAGGATGCCAGTGAACATTTGGAGGAAGGCAGTATTGAAGACGCTCAACGTAAAATAGCAGAAGGTGTGGACATTATAAAACATAGACAAAAATTAATAAAACTCGCAGATTCGTCAGAGGCGGGATGGAAGGCAGTTGACGAGTACGTTAAGAATCCTATAGCATCAGATTCCGATGACGAGAAGAGAATCACGAAAGCACAGACTCGGGCCGAGAGGAAACTAAAGGAGGAAAAGGCAAAGAAACGAAAAAACCTGAGAGAATTTACCAGGCCCTACCCAAAGCCAGTGTCGACACAGACAACGCCAAGTGAATCTACATGGAAGCCTGGGCATTGCTATCGCTGTAACAAGAGAGGTCACTGGAGAAAAGACTGCAAAAAAAAAAACTAGATGACAATAAGATAAGTACACTTGTTTATCAAAATAATCATTTGATTAAGCAGATAAACGACGGAGGGTATCAGAAGCAATCGTGCGTGGTAAATATTTCACCTGTAGGCTATTTACGGGAAAATATAGGTCAGTGGCGTTCGATTGGTACAAACAGGTATATTTTGGACGTTATTGAAAATGGCTATAAAATGCCATTGTTTACCACACCAGAACCCATAGAACTTAAGAATAATAGATCTGCGTTAGAAAACGGTGAGTTTGTAGATAAAGAAATTGAAAAATTGCTCATTAAAGGTTGCATAATGTATCAATAAACCAAGGGTTGTAAATCCATTGACGGTAGCGGGAAACAAAACAAAACTAAGGTTGGTATTAGATGCAAGACACATCAATCCTCATTTATTTAAAAACAAGCATAAATACGAGGATGCCTCTGTTTCAAAAAGCTTATTCGAATCAGGTGATTTCATTTTTTCATTTGATTTAAAAAGTGCATATCATCACATTAGAATGCATGAACTAGATGAGGAATACTTAGGTTTCAAATGGAAAAGCAAGTATTACGTTTTTAAAGTTCTGCCATTTGGCCTTAGTACAGCGGGATACATATTTTCGAAAGTTATGAGAGAGGTAGTCAAGTTTTGGAGGTCAAAAGGTCATAAAATGGTCATGTATTTAGATGATGGGATGGGAGGTGCCTCAACATTACACGAAGCAGAATTGGTGAGTTTAGAAATTCAGAAAGATTTAGACAAATTGGGGTTTCTCGTTGCAGCAGACAAGAGTCACTGGGAGCCAGTGCAAGAATTAGTATGGTTAGGGTTTGTATGGAACACTATAAACAATAAAATAATGGTGACGTCACCTAGGGTCAACAAACTCAAGGTTTGTATTGCAAATATTTTGGAAGGTTATGATGCTGGTTTTGTTTGGTTTGATGTAAAAAGTATCGCATCTGTGGTTGGACAAATAATCTCAATGCAAACGGTATTGGGTTATGATGTTAGACTAAGAACAAGGTATTTATACTTTTGTATTTTGGCACGTTCCAGTTGGTATTCAAGAGTTAGACTGTCTGCAGAGGCGGTAAGTGAATTAAGATTTTGGTTGACATCTGTTGAAGAAATGAATAACAATGGTACGTTGTTAAGTCAGTTGACAGAATCTGATGTAAGTAAGGTGTCAGTTTATTGTGATGCATCTAACACTGGTTTTGGAGGTCATTTGACCATATGTTCAGAGGGTGAACAAGTCGAATTTGAGTGGTATGGAGTTTGGAACGAATGGGAAAGTAAGCAAAGTTCTACTTGGAGAGAACTTGAGACAGTAAATAGAATATTGTCAAAATCAGTTGATAAAGTTGAAGGTAAATCTGTTGAGATAAACTCTGATAATAAGAATGTGCAGCATATTTTGAAAGTAGGGAGTAAAAAGAAAAAGTTACAAGACATTGCAATGTCAGTGCATAGATTATGCAATGAGAAGGATATCCAGATAACAGGTAAATGGATACCAATATCAGAAAACGTAAGAGCAGACTCTTTGAGCAGAATGACAGACTGTGATGACTGGTCAGTTAGACAATGTGTATTTGATTATTTCGACAATATCTGGGGACCACATACGTGTGATAGATTTGCAGATCGTCATAACAGTAAGTGTGAGAATTTTAATTCTAAGTATTGGTGCGCAGGATCAAGCGCTGTTGATGCGTTATCTCAGATGTGGACTGATCATTTGAACTGGGTTGTACCCCCTCCAAAATTAATTCCTTTAGTGGTAAGAAAACTTGAGAATGACAAATGCAAGTGTACTTTGGTAATTCCAGAGTGGAAATCCGCTCCGTTTTGGCCAATGTTGATTGATAAGGAGGGCAATTTTAAACATTATGTTAAAAATTTTTCGAAAATACAAAATATTCATGCAATTTGCAGGGGGAGAGGAAATAATGGAATATTTGGGAAAAAAGATCTGTTATTTAACATGATTTTTTTGAAGATAAAATTTTGATGCAGTTGACATATTTTTACAGGAATAGGACTACAGGACAGTATTAAAAGAAATGCAGAAAAACATGGCGTAGAACCAGGAAGTTATTTGGCGGATCTGTGTCCATATTTAAGCAGCTGGATTTTGTCAAGTAAAAGCGATAACACTAACAAATCCTACTTTAACGCTTTTAAGAGATGGGAAAAATTCATTAAAGTTCAAGGACACAGTGCGTTGCCGGCGAGTCCCATGCATGTGGCATTATACCTGACGCATTTATTACAAAACGGGTCATCTCAACATCCTGTGAACGCTGCCATTTATGCGATTAAGTGGGCTCATGAATGTGTAGGTTTACCAGATCCAACGAAGAATTCTTACGTTTCATCTCTACAAGAAGCTGCAAGACGGAAAGCTGGTCGTGCTGTGCAGAAAAAAGATCCTATTACCAAGGATGTGTTATTTGAACTTTGTGATAAATTCATTGATGAAAATGATTCGCTAATTCAGAAATCTTACCATGATTTTATTTTGTTTTGCTGGTTTTCTAAGGTTTGATGAAGCTATTTCTTTAACATTCAATGATGTGATTGTAGATGTGAATATCTTGTGCTTTGTATTAAAAAATCCAAAACAGATCAGTACAGACAAGGAAGCGAAGTCCTTGTCGCTAAGGGTTCAACGTCTGCATGTCCTGTCAATATGTATAAGAAATACCTAGAGCTTTTAGGTCCAATTGATGACAATCATTTTTTCTTATTTAGACCAATTTTTAGGTCAAAAGATGTTTGTAAATTAATATATAAAAACAAAAAACTTAGTTATACAGCAGCTAGAAGCAATCTTGTATCATTGTTGAAAACAGTTATGGGTGAACATGTTAACATAGGAATTCATTCTTTAAGGGCGGGTGGGGCAACTGTGGCAGCCAACTCAAATGTGGATGAGAGATGTTTGAAAAAGCACGGTAGATGGAGAAGTGATAGTGCTAAAGATGGTTACATTGTAGACTCTTTGGAAAAAAGGCTCATGGTCTCAAGGTCATTGGAAATATAATTTTATTTATATTATTCACAGTTGTCCATACACCCCCTTCTTTGTGTTTTTTCTAGAGCAATCACGGCTGGCTGTCAGGCAATGTATGTTTGTGTTGTGTTTTTATTTTAATGTGAGTAGAGTTAATACTTATATTTTCCCGCGGTTCGCCAGTAATAGCGGGAAAATATTGTATTGACGGCACAGTGCATTATAATGGAAGGTTCCATTAGTAGCCAATAGCTATTAAGCGTAAAGAACAGGTTTTCGAAATGTAATTCAGGTATTCACTTCTAGCCGCCGTGCGGCACGAGTTAGACGAAACTTGACATAAATTTTATTTTTCTTTCCACATGTCAATATTATTGTGGTTATTTAATGTTAGTATATTCATATATAGTAATAAAGTTGCGAGGTCCGTTCACAACTCCCCCTGCATCCAGCGGCACCTGGCAACGGACACAGGTTTTCTAGAGTTTTTAAAATCGATTTTCATCGTTTTATCTCTAGTTTTTGCCTGGCCGGCCCTGATGCTATGTAAAGGGGGCTTTAGAATTTTAAATATTATGCTGTCATGTAAAGAAAAGGACAGGTTACGTCATGTTTTTCTGCATTAATATGGTGATGAATAATGTGTTTTTTGAAAGTATTGTTGTAATACAGTATTTAATAAATTACGGGCGTCCAGCAATCACGGCTGGCTGTCAGGCAATGTATGTTTGTGTTGTGTTTTTATTTTAATGTGAGTAGAGTTAATACTACGCAATATCGCGAGTACCTCGCATCTCTCTCACGAACTACCGCTCTTTTGCAGAGAAGTCGAGAAAGCTTTAAATCTCACAAGATTTCTGGGGCATATGGTATCGTTTACAGCAGTGACAGTCGATGATTCTAAAAAATTTATGCCGAAAGTACAATACGTTGCCATGAATTGATCTTTAAATAGAGATGTTTCTGAATATGAATCGAATCCGAATCGGAAAATGAATCTGAATCGGTGAGATCCCGATCCCGATTTGAAAACTGAGAGAAAAACATTAGAAAGAGATATATCTTCCTAATCACACAATTTAAAATGTCATGTACATGTAACAATATGGGAAATAAATAATGCATGGTGTTTATATTTTTGTCATTGGGATTGTTATTGGTATGAAAGAGTTAGACAAGTCAAATTCTGTAGATTTAATAAAAGAGCAGGTACATGTACCCTTTCAATTCACGGGAAATCCTGCTCGTAAAGTATTATTGTTGTATTTTTCATTAGCTTACATTATTTTTTCCTCACAAGAATCGTTTTCTGGACCTTATTTTGAGTAAATGTTTCCATGCGAGTCAATTTACATACATATTAATACGTAATTAAAATTTATGTCGGAATTTTTTTTTTTCAACAACCCCATGGTAATGCATTTATATTTTGTCCAAGGTTTTCGGTCATTGTAGCATTGATATCAATACATTTCTAGTTTAACGCTTCTTTTTATTTATTTCGCGAAAAATTTCTTTCATGAGCGTTGTTATTATGTGTGATGATAATAATTAAAATATTGATTAAATTAATCACTAGTAAACAAAGATCTAGTGAGTTAAAAATACAATAATACAAAACTGGAAGATTTTGTAAGTATTGATACTAATTACTTCATAAGGTATGTAACTGAACAAAACATTCTTAAGGAGCCTAAAACTCTACAGAGATTGTTTATTATTGAGGACAAACTGTAATTTTAATGGGATTATAATGTGAAGTATGTAATGAAAATTTTTTTCCGAAAGGGTAGGGGATTTCCCCCAATGGCTATATCTCCCCCCGTTCTTACGTACCTGTTATCATTAATTTTGACGTCTTGAACTAAGAAGCCGATCAGTATTGATGAGGAAAATGTCAAAGTAGCCCCCCCCCCATATCTTTTGAGTCGTTAAATTTTGTTATAAAGCAAACAAATATGAACTTTTCATCCCCTCTTTTGGGATAAACTTTGATCGAAGAGAATTAAAAAACCCTCAAACATGGACAGGTTTATCACACCTGCCTATGAGAGTTTATTAATATGCCCCCCTCCTTCATCACCACCTACGGAAAATCCCTGATTCACCTTTGACATTTCCAACACCCCCCCCCCCAGCCCAGCAAAAAAAAAAAAATGAAGCTATCTTGATTTACTTAATATTTTTTCACTTTGTTACATCCATATAGAAGTACGATTAAAAACGTAAGATAAACATAAGGAAACTTATTTCTTGCGGGATATTTGTTTATTCGGGGGTAGGGGTGGGGGTTTAAAAAACACATTAATGTTTTATACAGGTTATTGATTGATATACTAAAGACAAAAACAATCTCAGTGTACAATATAGAAATTTAAGCATTTTTTTTATTTCGGGATCGGAATCCCGCCGATTCAGATTCGTTTCATATTCATTTTCAGATTCGGATTCGTTTCATATTCAGAAACATCTCTAATAGAAGATTATCTAAAAAGGTAAGTTTAGAATATTTTAGCAGCTTTAGAATGTGACGATTTTCAATGCAAATTTAATTAAAAGAGTTTGCTTAGTTTAACAAAAGGCCCATGGGCCTTATAGGTCACATGAGCATTATGCAACAATTTTCAAACTATTTAATTTGATTCATGTTTTAAGCAAGATGCTATGGCATTCACAATTTTGAAAGAGGCACCATTTGATCATCATAACAATACACATAGCAGTTGCTTAGTTTGTTTACATAATACCCATAGGCAGGGTGGGGGAACAAAAAATGCATTTCAAGTAATCAGTAATATTCAGCAATAATCAGTAATGCCCCTATCACACATGAACCCCTGACCCTTAGGCCTAGATCCACACATTGCACAATTTTTGAAAAGGCACCCTTGCTTTTCAAAAATATTTGATTAATACCAAGGAGCAGATCTCAAACAATTCATCCAGTTTCAGTATATAAGTACATCCCCCCCCATGGTACCCCTGACCCTCGGGCCTTGAAATTCACAATTCTGGAAGATTAGGGTCCTTGCTCATCATAACTACATAGGTAGTTCATCTGCTTAATACCTAAGAGCAGAGAAGAAAATTTTCAAAATTTAATGTATTTTCACTATATAATCAATAGAGCCCCACCCTATCACTAGAACCCCTGACCCTAGGGCCATAAAATCAAAATTTTGGAAGAGGTATTCTTGCTCATCATAACTATGTACTTCGTTTATTTAATTCCTAGAAGCAGAAAAGAATTTTTTTCAAAGAATTCATGTATTTCCATTATATAATCAACAGAGCCCCACCCTAACACTAGAACCCCTGACCCCGGGGCCATAAATTTTACAATTTTGGTAGAGGCACTCTTGCACATCATAACTATGCACTTAGTTAGCTTATTTAATACTCAGAAGCAGAGAAGAAAATTTTCAAAGAATAAATGCATTTTCACTATATAATCAATAGAGCCCCGCCCTAACACTAGAACCCCTGACCCTAGGGCCATAAAATTCACAATTTTGGTAGAGGCACTCTTGCTCATCATAACTATGCACTTAGTTAGTTTATTTAATACCCAGGAGCAGAGAAGAAGAATGCATTTTCACTATATACTTATTTAGCCCCACCCTAGCACTAGAACCCATGACCCCGGGGCCATAAATTTTACAATTTTGGTAAAGGCACTCTTGCTCATTATAACTATGCACTTAGTTAGTTTATTTAATACTCAGGAGCAGAGAAGAAGATTTTCAAAAAATTCATGCATTTTCACTATATAATCAATAGAGTCTCGCCGTAACACCCGAACCCCTGACCCTAGGGCCATAAAAATCACTATTTTGGTAGAGACACTATTGCTCATCATAACTATGCACTTAGTTAGTTTATTTAATACCCAGGAGCAGAGAAGAAGATTTTCAAAGAAATAATGCATTTTCACTATATACTTATTTAGCCCCACCCTAGCACTAGAACCCCTGACCCCGGGGCCATAAATTTCACAATTTTGGTAGAGGCACTCTTGCACATCATAACTATGCACTTAGTTAGCTTATTTAATACTCAGGAGTAGAGAAGAAGATTTTCAAAGAATTCATGAATTTTCACTATTTAATCTATAGAGCCCCGCCCTAACACTAGAACCCCTGACCCTAGGGCCATAAAATTCACAATTTGGTAGAGGCACTATTGCTCATCATAACTATGCACTTAGTTAGTTTATTTAATACCCAGGAGCAGAGAAGAATATTTTCAAAGAAATAATGCATTTTCACTATATACTTATTTAGCCCCACCCTAGCACTAGAACCCCTGACCCTGGGGCCATGAATTTCACAATTTTGGTAGAGGACTCAATGTTGATTACAATCATGCAAACAGTTTAACTGCTTGATGTCCAGGAGTAAAGAAGAAGATTTTTAAAGATTGCATTAATTTTAGTTGTTTTTGCCTCACCCCCAAGGCCCCAGGGGGGCAGGGAC